TGAAATTATGCTGAATTAGAATTTTCCCATTCATTTGAATGGAGCAAAACCTTCAAAATAAAGCTAAATATTTCAAAAGTATGAAGTTCAGAAACCTTCTGAATAGCAGCATGAATGTCCTTAAGGAGCAGAACATTTTGATAGCTGAAATTATGCTGAATTATACTTTTCCTATTCATTTGAATGGGGCAAGATTTTCAAAATAAAGCTAAATATTTCAAAAGTATAAAGTTTAGAAAACTTCTGAATAGCAACATGAATGTCCTTAAGGAGTGGAACATTTTGATAGCTGAAATTATGCTGAAATATAATTTTACCATCCATTTGAATTGAGCAAGATTTTCAAAATAAAGCTAACTATTTCAAAAGTATGAAGTTTAGTAAAACTTCTGAGGAGAAGCATGAATGTCCTTGAAGAGCTGAACATTTTGATAGCTGAAAGAGCTGAAAGTATGCTGAAGTAGAATTTTCCCATTCATTTGAATGGGGCAAGATTTTCAAAATAGAGCTAAATGTTTAAAAAATTTGAAGTTTAGAAAACTTCTGAAGAGAAGCATGAATGTCCTTGAAGAGCTGAACATTTTGATACCTGAAATAGCTGAAAGTATGCTTAAGTAGAATTTTCCCATTCATTTGAATGGGGCAAAACTTTCAAAATAAAGCTAAATATTTCAAAAGTTTGAAGTTTTGAAAACTTGTGAGGAGAAGCATGAATGTCATTGAAAAGCTGAACATTTTGATAGCTGAAATTATGCTGACTTAGAATTTTCCCATTCATTTGAATGGAGCAAGATTTTCAAAATAAAGCTAATAATAAAGTATTTCAAAAGTATGAAGTTTACAAAAGTTCTGAATAGAAGCATGGAAAGTTGTAAAAAAAACCCTTGACTATATGCTTTAATGTCCTGAAAAAGCTGAACATTTTGATGAATGGCTGAATGGCTTTTGTAGCTGAAAGTATACTGAACTTATTAAGGTGTGAACATTTTCCTATTGGTCCCCGCAAAGTAGGTAAAACAATTAGGGTTGTGTGTGTGTGTGGGTGTGTAGGTGTTTGTGTGTCTGTGTCTATGTGTGTATATGAGAAAGAAAGAGTAGTCCTACACACTGAAAAATACTAGTGTGGATATTGAAATGCGACATCAAATGTAAATGGTAATTATGCAAAAACTGTAAAAAAAAAAAAAATCAAAAAGTTGTTTACAGTATGAATAGCTAAAGAGTTACCGAATAGTTATTAGTTGAAATTGTGTTTTTAGCTGAAGGTATGCTGAAGATATTGAGATGTGAAAATTTTGCCCATTCATTTGAATGGGCATAGTATGGATGCTTTTCAGCATCTATACAAAAATAATAATAATAATAATAATTAAAGAACAGGAGAGCATTAGTCATATTCTCCCTCATAATAATAGTGTTATATTTTTAACGCACTAATTCACTTAAAATCAACCTTTGGTTTCAATGAGACTTAATGGGTTATGCTGTATGGAAATGACAACTGCTATTATGTAAAGTGCAGAAACAAATGAACAAAAGTTATTTTTCCTGTATGCTTTTTATTTTTTGGTGTATTTTCATCCATCCACCACAAAAACACACTTATCAGAAGCAGACATATGTCATATGTCAAATAGTAGTGTTTGCCAGTGTTTCCTGCGATTTGAACTGAACTCCCCTTCTTTAGCGCGCAGTCAGCTTTCGTTTCCATGTCAAACACAAATCACCTCGTTGGACACAGCTAGAACAGTGTGACTGTACCTGGGCTTCAGGAAGGGAAATGTCCATGATGACTGGCTGGCCGTGATTCTCTAGCCTGGAGTAGACCAGCTGGTAGCCTCTGATCTGGCCATGCTGCTTCACAGACAGGGGAGGCTTCCAAGTCACCCGGAGGGCAGTGGAGTTGAGGGCATCTGCCTCCACCTTCCTGGGAGGAGCTCCAGGCACTGCAGTGCAACACAACACACAACTACTTAGAACCTTTAAGAAAAGTTCAAGTAGATTTTTTTGGGGGGGGAATGCATGTCTACATTTACCTTTTGGTTTTGTATCCAAAAGCTTATATACTGTATACTGTACTGTATATAAATACAGATGAAGAGTTTTCAGTGGCAGGGAGTTTTGGGCAGGATTTAAAGAACCTCTATCTCCAGCATGAACAAATGTGGTGCAGCAGAAAATTGTCAGTGTTGGTTTGTCATTCTGCTCGGTGATGCACATAATCTGTATGGATACCATTCACTGAACCAGCTTGCTACTTTTCATTTCTTTGTGCCTTCTTGAAAGAAAGGCAAACAAAGGATCAAACAAGGATCAGCTTTAACCAGTCAATACCGACCAACTACAAAAATGATGAATCCTGAACCTAGATACGGGCTCAGGAAAATCCCAGTATGGTCTGCTGGTTGGTAGCTGTGTCCCATGTTTAGAAAGGACTGATAAATAAAGTGCTAATATTGTCTATTTGTTAAAAATTGTCAGGTCAGTTCAATCTACCTCAGCTACATGATTATATATTCATAGATCAAGTTTATGCATTGCAAACCTAACTCTAACCTAGTTTCAACCACTTTCAACCAACATTTTTGGCTTCCAATGATGATCTGAATATTGTTTTCAGATTGTTATGGGACTTTAAACCTTGATAAAAATCACGAGGAAACACTGGATACTTTGTTTTGGATAATCCTTTCCTGAAAATGACCACAGCTAATAAAGATATTAGATCAGCTCGTTAGACAGCATTTCCATCACCATCATCAAAACACCACATGAGGGAATATCTGTTGGAAGAACAGTGTTCATCCTCCAGTAGAGTTCACTGACTTGGAGAGTCAGTGCCAAGGTGGAGCTGTTCTGGTGGCACATGGTGGCCCAGTACCTTACCGAGACAATCTGTGTTGGATTGTCCTTTCATTTATCACCTGCTAATATTTATTGTGATTTTATTCTGCCATGTAAAGTACTTTGGTCAGCTGGATGCTGTTTTTAAAGTGCTATATAAATGAAATTGATTTGATTTGATCACCTATCTGCACATTTTGTTAGTTTAATTCCAAATCCAGAAACATCTTAATGTACAATTGATTCATTGCATGTGGAAATTTTTGCTGAACTTGGAAAAATTATCAGTAGATGCTGAAACAGTGAAAGGGTAGCAAGGAGTAGAAATGTGAGTTAAAGTGGAAGTGATGAAAGCAGTTTAAGTGTAAGCAATGAAACAAGCTGAAATTTCAGTTGAAGTGTCAACTGAAAGCTCAAAAATGACTTGTCATTTCATTCTGAGCTAATAATGTGTGGTTTTAAGATAAACTTAAATGCAAAATTTTAAACCACTGTTTTCATGGCAGTATCCTCCATTACATTCAGACACACTACAAGCCCAGTCATAGCCCAGATCTGCATCATTACATAAAGGGTGTACTACTCTACTCTATATCTTGAATTGGTACTGATGCCAGCAGGGAAAGTAATAGGCTTAGATGTTGTAACTTGGAAAGAGATCTTGCCTCCACAGCATCTTTTCCAGGTTGTTCTTGCAAAAACCTCTGTCCACAGTTGAATTACACGGTATTAAAGCCAAAAACATGTCAACAGAGTTTAAAAATGTTCCTGATCTGATGAGACAGTTGCAGACCTGGACAAGTTACAAGGTAATGTCAAGGTTGAAAGCTATTTTTGCAGATTATACACATCAAAGCTTGTCGCATGGAGCCTCAAGAGGATGCTGGGAGCAGGGCTTAGAGCTTTCACTTTTTACTTTGTACAATATCAATATGAGCTTTTGAAGAGTCCTCTACAATGCCTGATTAGCTTCAGAGGAAGGTGTAAGTGAATACAAATTTGACTTCAATATAATCAAATGAGGCTGTGCAAATATTAATGAAACTCAAGACAGACAAGGAGAGGAAAGGAAGCGTTAGAGGTTAAAATACTCTGCACTAAGTGACACAGAGAGGAAATTGTTAATCACCCGCTCTGTCACTTCCTGTTTGCACTATGCATTGTCTAATTAGAATAATTTAACCTCATATAGTTTCTGCAAGCTTCCAGAATTAGGCATCAAGCTTTGGAGGAAAAATGTCAATAAACTTTTGTGTTAACAGCAAAATGCAAAACTACAGCCTTGCGTAGTGTGGAAGAGCAAAAGAGCCATGTAACAGACAACTGCTGTAGCCACGTTAGTACAAACATAGCTGCCTCATTACAGAGATACCCCATTTACACTAAGCCTCTCCATTCATATTCGACAACCCTCTCACAGACACAAGCAACAGAGGAAGATTCTGCACAGCCACATTCAGTGACACCATTACAGTTACACACACTTAGCATCCGCCTCATTACATAAAGGAGGTGCTACTGTGTGTCTTGAACTGGTACTGAGCAGAGTGATCTGTATGGACTGAAGGGCAAAATGAGTGAGTGCTAATGATGAAGAGCATAACTTGTGAGTCACATGTGGCCTATCCATGGTAGTTGATGTAAATGCTAGTTAGCTTAGATTCAACAGTGGAAACACAACACATGTTTGATGCTTAATGCAAACTGTGAGGCCATGTCAGTTAAAAACCTGCAGGGCCATCCTGACTGACAGCATGAAGTCGGATCCTATAGGTTTGTGGGTGTTGGGGATTCTCTGCTGCCACTGTCAAGTGTTGTTGCTGCCACTAATGGTCTCCTCTGTGTCTCTGCCTGCATTCCCCTCCTTCTGCAAACCTCAGGTTAAAGAAAGCCACAGTCTGAATGACCTCAACATGCTGCTGTGATCCATTTGCTTTTACAGGACACATCTTAAAACAACACCCACTCCAAAGCTTTGAGGAAATATTAAGTATAAGTATATTTTTTCCCCTGTCTTTTTTTTTTTTTGGTCTGGTTGGATTTTTAAAAATGTACTGTATATTGAGCATGACAAAATATGGCTCAACAAGGCAGGGTGGGTGATTAGACTGCACAGACAGAGACTATGGTGAACAGCTATGTATTATATAAGTTAAGACTGGGGTGACAACATGCTGTGCAATGGAGAGGAAAATATCCTATGTGGTTCCAAGTGTCAGCATTTATGTAAATGTAGAGACTGCAGATTGTCTGTAAGGGGGAGTGGTTGGCTGAACAAAAATAAAGAGTGAAAAAGTGGGGAAATGAGTTAAAAAAAATCTTTCAGCTCTATATTTATGTACACACTTACAAAACAGGATATTTTATCTAAGTAGTGTGGGTGGGCGGAAATGGGATCCAGCTCATCAAACAACTTTGCAGTTTTTCAGGTCTGTCTCTAACTTTTCAGTTCCATCTAAATGGTCTCATCCCCCCAGATACTAATGGGGACTTGTCTATCAATAGCTCCTGGCTGTTCTTCAGTTGTGACTGACAGCCCGAGCAGAGTATGGATTTAAATTCTGGACCAAAGCGGAGAGCAGTGGAAGCAAAAGTAGAACTTGTGACCTTGGCTACAAGCCACATTACGTTTTGTTAGGTTCATGCAATAGAAAAGGGCAAGCAGTGATAAAACTCCAAGTTTGCTTTAATATGCAGATCTATTTAGTGTATATACAGTACCATTCATTTACCATTCAGGGTCAAGTTTCCTCCAAAGTTATGAATGTACCCAGAATGCACAAACCCATGAAAATGAATGACAGCAAAATCCTGAAGCCATTGAACCTGTAAGAGGCCTCTTGCACTGAATTCATCTTCGTGTTTCTGATCGCCATGACTTGAGCTTGTTGGCAACAGGAAAATGACTGAGCACTAATTTGATGCAGGCCTCAGAGGAAATGGGTCCAAATCACATCTCAGTGAGATGTGGAGGGAAACAGGTCTGCTGCAGAACAGTACTGTTACTCTGTGCCTACACTATCAACACCAATACTAGGATTGGAAAAAATGTTGCATCTCACTGACCATAAAGAGAAGACCTGGCTTTGTTTACAGGTTATTACAATTAATTAGTTACAATTAATAGTTAGCCAGCAGCCTTCTGAGCTGTGCTGTAAACTACTGTAGATGTCAGAGAGTAAAATGAGAATGTCTAGTGATGCTCAGGCACCAGGCTGACACTGATGTGAGACAGAAAGGAGGATTCATAGATCTGTGGGCAGAGCACAGAGAAAAGCTGCTACAGTCTGTGTGGAGAATGGAAAGATGCTGGAGAAACCCAGTCAGCAATGAGAGCTCAAAGTCAAATGAGGTGCAGAGAGATGGAAAGAGCTGAAAATAATGTCACATTAAAATTCAGTGGGTGTAGAAAATAAAGTATGGTGAGAGGGGCTGAGGGAAAGAATGGAGATAGAGAGAAAAAGGCAAGCAGGTGGAGAGGTTTAGTGCTTTGGAGTGAGGAAGGAAACAATGCTCCAAAAGCGATTTAGATTCGTGTTTTGTGGGGTTTAACTCATAAAACAGTAATGTCCAGGAAAAGAAATGTTTTGGTCCAAGAAAAGATAAGGTAATTATTGAGTTTTTCCCAAGTAAAACAAGAATTCAGACAGGATCTCCAGAATCAGCACCACACACAGAAATCAGATTTCCAAACCAGACAGCCTCAATCATTCCAACATATCAATAAACAGATCTGTGTTTAAGTTACAATGACAATTCAAACACAATAAGAACATGAGGTAATCAGATTAGTCCAGACATCAGTATGACTAATATGATTACGAGGAAAATGAAAGGAAGGAAGATGTCAAAGGCAGGGCTGGAGTTCATTAGTAAGCAAAGAGCTGGTCAGAACAGTGAGCTTTAACTAACTGGAGAGGTTTCACACTACTTTCCAAGTCTAACATTGTCCAGGACTCATCCTTTTATACTTTGATTTCTTCTAGTGGCTCCAGAAAACAGCCCATTACTCTTTGCTGTCACTGGTGATAATGTGTCCAATTGTGCCATCACAAAAAAAGAACCATCCTATAAGGATGTCTTGTAATGCTGTTTGTATTATAGCTGTGCACTGGGCTGTACTGCATTCTGCTTCTGAGTTGCCTTCTGCAGTGACTGTAATAAGGACTATGAGCTACAAATGGCAGGACCTCCCTCCGGACTGAATCAGAGTGGCCATTTACAGTAGCTAGAGCCTCAGACCAGTTATCTGACTGATGACAGAGAAAGAGCAGGCCATGTTGCTGCTCCAGACACCCTAGCATGGCAGCCCAGCAGGAGAGAGCCATGTCATCATGCTGGGAAAAAGACAGGCAGAGATAGGCGGGCAGCGGAATAGTGGCAGCAAGCGTCTTACAGAACAAACTCTCAAAATGTTGTGATATGAGCACAAGCTTGTGCTGGGACAAATAACAATGTTTCTCAACTGTGTGAGAATTATGACACAGCAGGTAGACAAGATAGGGCATACGTATTACAAGACCTGCCTTACACTTCTTAGAATTTTAGGTATTCATGTGCAATAGGTGACCCCCCCCCCCCCAAAAAAAAATTGGTCTAGAACCCTGGATCAGTTGCCTGCTTTTCAGTCAGAGTATGCTGCAGCAGCAGGAAAGGAGCAGAGCCAGTGTTGGAGCATTACTATTACTACTGAAGTGGCGAGGTCCAAATTGCTTTCCATGACACCATCAACCTACCATCTTCCTTGGTCCTGATGCGGGCTGCAGGGCTCTCTGGGCCAGGCCCTACATCAGTGTGAGCCCACACCCACACCAAATACTCCATCCACTTCTCCAGGTCCTCCAGCACATAGCTGGTGACATCAGCACCAATCCCTGACACTTGGTGGCGCTGCATGTCCTCCCCTGTGAGGGCTTGGTAGGCAAGGGAGTAGCACACTATCTCCCCGTGGCGGCTGTCTGTAGGTGGTGCCAGCCAACTCACCTTGATGCTGGTAGAGCTGAGGCTGAGCACGCGTACCTCCTGGGGAGGGGCTGATGGGGCTGATGGGAGGGGAGGAGGGAGGGTAATGGTCAAGCAGGGTGGATAATGGTCGACAGTGCAGCTGACCCCCTGGACTGCTGAGTGAAAGTATTCTTATATATTAGAGAAACAGACTGAACTGTCAATCACACAGTATGTCTTGACTACTTTTTTCATCTTCTGTTCATTGGGGTTGCCATTACATTTTGGGAAAAACATAATTGCTGCCCATCTTGTGTTCAGTGACATAATAATGTCTTTTTGTCCAAGATATGTGATATCCTAATACTCCACAGAAATCAGTTCAATGTGGCAAGAAACATCAGTAAAATGATGCAAGCAGGTGCTGAGCAGCTGTCCCTCACTGCACAGAAAACTCATTCACTAAGTCAAAATTGAATCAGAAAAGTTGTTTACAATACATTATCGGATTAGTTTTCTCTTCCAAAGATGTTCGATTAACCTGAAAGTTTGTTCATCCATCAATCTGATCGTTCCTTTTTAGGGGTTTGAGTGTGTTCTCAGATCTCAATAGTAAACTTGATGTTATTCATACAGAGATGTTTTTAAGACATGCTAAAATACTCTGCTATTATATATATATATTATCCCCCCCGCCCCCAAAAAACTTCAGTAAATTTCTGACAAGGGCCTGAAAGCATGTCTGGTCTTTGCCCTTCACTGTGAATTCCAATAGTCATGCATATTCAACTATGTAAATTAGCCCAGGCATCTGTAACTGCCTGCTACTGCTGCTTCCTCCAGGTAGACCAGTGAAATCATTGTGTATCAGGAAGCGATGGCAGGAGGGAGCATTGGAAAAATATGTTTGAGCCTCTTTCAGTCAGTTCACCAAAACCAGCAGTTGGCAGATGTGGTGAGTGTAGTTAGTGTCTTATTTTTGTAAAGCATTAGCTGTTAGCTTGGAACTGGTGGCTAGAATAGCCAGAGTAGTTTTTGACACATTTGCCGTCAACAGATAAAGCCTTGGCTCCCGCTCTTGGTCACTGAAATCTGCAGATATTTGCACAGTGAACCATGATTGGCTTTCAGATTTGTGGCATCATAAATTCTGTCTGCCTTGCCTTGTTTAAAACTCCGATTTCAGTGGAGCAAACAAACATCCACCTGCTTCAGCAGGGTAATGTGAAGTTGTAATAAGCCAGAACTATCCTTAAACAATATAAATGTTTCCTTGTTATAGTCATTTTAAAAAGGTAATCTGGGCAACATTATGTTTTTTGCAAACCATATTGATAATCAAATGAGTTAAATATGATTATATGTTTTAGAAAACACAATTGAAACTGCATAATTATTGTTTCAGTATGTAACAATGTCTGTCACTGACCAACAGTGGTGACCACTTGTCATGAAATGAACACGCATATGAAAAATAAAACACATTTTTAGTAAATTGATAGCTGATGTTTCATCCTCTTCCACATATGATCACAGTCCAGAGGGCAGACAACAACAAGGGTGATACTTCACACTGAAACAACAATGGCCTGACAAAGACATGTAACTAACACAGCATGAAGTTTCACCAACAGAAAAGAAAAGCAGGCACACTACAGAGGAATGCATGTGTGCACGGTGATGGTTTGGTAGCCCCAGCTAAGTGTATGGACTCAGCAAGGTTACTTTTTGAACAGTGTTGAAGGCTGACTTGCTGCAGAGGTGCCGGCGACAAGTTGCACATCTCTCTCAAGAACAGCCGTAAGTCCATCACACATACAAGAACCTTTGGATGCATCAGTGCAGGGGAGCAATAGACCAGAGAGACAGAGATGCATGTGTGGGAGATGCACCGCAGCCAATTTAAGTTGTGAATAGAAATTAGATTTCAAAACCTGGAGTAGAGGTAGGTGACGCTGACAAAAAATGCTATTAAAATTTAAAATGAAAAAGAAACAACCTACAAAAACAAGATGATAAAACAAAACATTAAAACAAAGTGGTGTCGTGTTAAAATGGGGCAGACTGCAGGGGACTGAATGAGCAGGTTAAATCTCCTGGACTACTAAGGACCACTTCTCATGATCTCACAGAAAATTGCAATTATTTATAGTAAAAGAAGCCTATTGTTCATCCCCATCCAAACTGGATTTACAAACATTACCTGTTCCGGTCACTCATTTTGAGTTTGTCCTTATGTGTGTAACGTTTCCCTCTGAACCTAGTAAAAAATTACAACTGGAATTGTCTCCTATTCGTCTGTGAACTGGATGTTCCTCCTGTATTTTAAATCCCATTTCAAGTGATGTCTTTGTATGTTGTGGATCTCTGAGTTTTTATTTCAACAGTAAGAGATGCTTGTTCTTCTATATCTTCTATGCAGATTCTCAGTCATCCAGGTCATAGTAAGCTAGAAATCAACTGGACTAGATTTCTAGGTCGAAGACGTTTCACCTCTCATCCAAGAGGCTTCATCAGTTCTGTTCAGAATCTAGTCCAGTTGATTTTTTCTAAGTTTTTTTCCAGCTTGTTCTTCTACTTTTGCATTTCTTTGCTTTGTTCTCAGGTCAGTGGGTAATTTCACATTTGTATGAAAATGGAGAAAGTCCTGTGAACCTGACAGATGAAAAGCTGGTAACACCAACATGTAGGACTGTTTGAAAACCCAACTGAAATTCAAGCAAGAAAAATTCAAGCGTTCAGGAGAGTAAGACCCTGTGAAAGCTTATCAAAATACGCTGTTGTCTGCTGTTGCTAATGTCAGCCACAGCCCCTTTTTTCAGCCTTTTTTATTTGATTTCTAAATAGATTCACTGATGATTATTCATGTTGAACAGAGATAATGGTATTCTCATTACACTGAATAGTTACACTTTTATCTGTGTTTGATCAGATTCGACTGAGTTATGAGGAGGAGGAGGATTTCTGACTAAAAATTCACCTCGTGCAGTAAATCCCCCTCTCCTTCAACTCTCCAGAAGAAACCTAGGGGGACTTTGGCTTTGTCCTAAAATGCTGTCTAGAATGAGTTAAATTACATAAATGGAGAAAAATACTTGTGTGTGTGATTAAACAATAACAGTTAATACAGCAGCCTGATCTCATCTGAAACCTGACACTACAGGATGGCGGCTGTTGGTGTGCTCTGGCTGAGCTCTGTAATTTGGAAGTGTACTTTTCTGCTATAACTACTTCTGTTTCCACTTCACATCCTGCACTTTTAAAATATTGAAATTATATTTATCCAGACCGTGGAAGTATATCACCAACCGTGGCAATATGCTATCCACCCACGTCTCTCTGGGCAGTTCCACTCGGGGCCGTGCCTTCGTCCTGTCAGCCAGCTGTGCTCTGTACTTTTAACCAGCATTTCCATTAGCTGGTCATTTCTGGGTTTTGCCTGGTAATATTCATAAAAAAACTAATAAATGAAAAACGTGATGGTGAAAAGTTGTGGTAATAATGTTTACAGGCTGCACCCTGACAGGGCTACACTGGCTAAAACTGCCTGTGTTCTGCTTGATTCAACATACCAGCAGAGCAAGGCTTCTCTCTACAGTCATATGGCGGAGGAGAGAGCGACGCCGCTGGACGCGTAAAGTTCCAAGACACATAGACCGGTTTCCATGGAGACGATCACGGCCAGTTCAACCTACTCATCCTCCTAGTCCTCAGTACAGCATTTGACGCCATCAGTCACTCTATTCTCCTATCACACCTGCAGTCAACTCTCAGTATCACGGACGCTGACAATCTTATCGCTCTGACAGAAAAGACGTCATCGGTATCATCACCTGCACTTCTTCCACAGTTGCTCTGTGTAAAGGAGGCCCTAAGCTTCAGATCTTGGCCCTCTTGGCTTTTTATCCTCTACTTATTCCCACCCAAGAGCATCATCAAAAAACATCTCCATCAAGTCCATTATCCCCTCCACTCACTCAACCCTAAGTGTCCATCTGTAAGAGTTAAAAGCATGGATGTGAGTAAACTTTCTTAAACTCAAGTGCAATAAACATTAAATAATCATAACAGCCTGCAAAATACTAAAACCACCCAACCACCCTTCTCTCTCATTTTTGACAGCTCTTCTGAGTGCACTCCCTTCCTCCCAAGTCCATAATCTAGATATGACCAAACCGTAAACACAGCCTTTTTTCAACTGAAAAATATTGCCCTGTTGTACCTACCAGTCTGCGCTGCTGAAAGTCTAATCAATGCTTTTGTTACTTGCAGACTAGACTACTGCAAAAGCATCCTCTACTGTCAACCAACCAGCTAAACTCCTCAGGTATGTTCAGAACTATGCAGCCTATACACTCATTCTGTCACAGTCCCACAGCTACAGCACCCCGGTCCATCAAGAACTACACTGGCTCCCCACCTCAGAGAATTCATTTCAAAATTCTGCTGCTCATCTTTAAAACTCATTAGAATTGCAGCTTTTTATTATGCATGTATTATGTATGTAAATCATTTTTGAGTTCCTTGATAAGCTCTATTTACATAAAATGTATTAATACTCACTACTACTAACAAACTGAAAAGGCAGATACTGGCAGATGGAGAATGGACCACAGTGGTCTGATGTCTTTAAAACCTGTTAGCAAGTTTACTGTCATGATGGATTTGGTTGCCAGAGGAGTGATAATACACTGACAGGCAAATAAACAAAATTAAAACTTTTTTTGTTTTGCAGTGTGACTGCTGGCTCAGTGAACTCACTCCTGACAGGTAAAACAAGTAGCTGAGAGAGGGCTTAGATTCCTTCTGGGAATTGTTGTAAATATTACCGTCCACATCTCACAGCATGCCAGAAAGGCAGCGCTCCAATGCTAGATATGCAGTCAAGCTCTGGATTAAAGATGTTCAATAGTATTAGTGTCAGTGGGGGAAGAGTGATTGAACAGCAGAAGTACATCACCATACTCTAGGACCATCATTTTGACCAGGCATGGCAGTCATGATAAGTCTGCAACAGTTTGTTTGCTTGGTCTTACATCATAATACGCTGTATATATATCGGCTCAGAGCCTTTATTAGACTATTTGTCAAAATGTGCAAAGTTCAGCGCCTGGTGATTTGTCACACGAAGGCAGCAGAAAGCTGAAAATATACTCCATATAAATATCAAGCAATACTATGTGTCTGTGAATTAGATGAAAAACAAAAAAAAAACAAAAAAATTCTGAATGACATTTTCATTTGTTGTTGCCTTGGTGCATGAAATCTTTAATTAAGTTGCATGTTCAGCAGAATGTCTACTTAATTAATGCTACACTGGTGATTGCATTTTGCGAGCTTGAAGCTTGAGATTTGCAATTACACAGTTCTGTGAGCTACACAGCCCTTTCGCTGCTAGTATGACTGTTACAATAGTTTGAGCACACACAAGTGGCTGGGTCAGAATAGGGGTTTTGCTCCCACACTCAGCGTTACAGTGCTGTGGATAAAGCAAATCTCTACTTACATTTGTAAAACAGATGACAAAGAACAATGACCTCAGCCTCATTTAGAAATACACCTACACTCTGGTGTCACTTTATTAGGCACACCAAGCTAAAACTAAGTCAGTTTAATCCAACAGTCCTGTAACAAGTCCTCCTTCACCAAGGTGATGGCTACCAGGCTAAATATCAGAAACATGTCAGGTTTGCTCGGGGGCACCTGCCTCTCTCACCTCCTTCTCTTTGTTTTTCGGTTCCTGATCACACCACCTTGCCCCTTGTTTCCTTAATTAACACCAGCTGCATTCACTCAGTCCTTCACCTTATTTATACCCAACTCACTTTTCACTCCCTTGCCAGTTCGTCGTTGCTTTCAGGTGGACAACCAGCGCCATTCTCCTCATCTTTGTTGTGTTATTGTTACCATCAGTTTTTGTTTTCTTTCAGTCTGTCTACCCTGCCTTTTTCCTTGACCATTTCTCCACAGACTGTTTTCCTCCAGACCACTACTCCACACCCTTCCAGCCTCCACCAGCCAGGTCGGTACACAGTCATCAGACTCCATCTACCACCCACCGGCCAGACCAGGAGTGACCCTAGAGTCCGCAGCTAAGCCTATCTCATCATTCCCATCATAGACTGTATTTTTGCTAGCTGATCAGCTTCTGGTCCTACTGTTTCCCTTGTCTTGTTTATCTACCATACCACGTCACATATATAGTACAACACCAATAAATCTGTTTGCACTGAGATCAGCCATCTAGGTCCGCTTCTTCACTCACTCACCCTCCTGTGAGTGAGTGATCCTAACAAAACACCTCTCTGTATAATGCAGTACAGCTCAACAGCAGCAGAAACTCCAGTGATCAAACCTTGCCAGGACACACTGGCTGTGTATTTATCCTATAATAATTACTGTAATATTTGTACACACTTGAAGCACCATCTAATACAAAAACAGTCTGGATATATTTCTAAAAATATAAGACACTGCAATTCAAAGCCGAATGATATGACATATATGATCTGGGATGTGTTTTTATTCAGCTAATTTGATTTCTTACCTATTGATGGCCAAATAAGTATTAGGTTAAAGTAAAAAAGGAAACATCAAAGTTCACAAAGTTTTTATTTCAGAGTACTACAGTAACAAATGGACAGGCTAGAAAACTGCTGCCACACAGACGGTGAAATGAGAAAGCAGCCCAATCGCTCACACAGCCCTGGCCCACCGTCAGTCATCTATAAATGGTGTCTGATGACGCAGGATGATGTCAGTGAAACCGTCCAGTGTGACCTACCTGACTTCCCAGTCAGTCGGTGTGGCTTCTTGTTTACTCCATGTTAATTTAAACATGAAATGGAACAAAACTATGAGGCAACAATAGATCAATGACACCAGGAAGCTGTTGTACTTACTGGACTGGGCAGTCCTGGCCTCAATAGGCTGCGTAAAGACTCCTAAACCCATCTGAGATTGTGCTGCCAGGGAAAACATGTAGAGTGTATCTGGCCTTAAACCCTCGACAGCATACAAGCCTGCTGGGCCAAAAGTGACACGATGCTGTGGAGAGGTGAAAACCATGAGACAATGAGGGCCATGGTACATACATGTGTACACAGATATAACTATTGGATTTTTATCATGTAGGGTTTCATTTCACTCTTGTAGAATTACAGTGGTGTGAAAAAGTGTTTGCCCCCTTACTGATTTCTTATCTTTTTGCATGTTTGTCACACTGTAATGTTTCAGATTGTCAAACAAATTTATATATTAGTCAAAGATAACACAAGTAAACACATCATGCAGTTTTTAAATGAAGGTTTTTATTATTAAGGGAAAACAAAATCCAAAACTATAGATCCCTGTGTGAACAAGTGTTTGCCCCCCTGTCAAAACACTGGTTTATCGCACCTGAGTTCAATTTCTCTTGCCACACCTGTTCGCAATCAAGAAATCACTTAAATAGGACCTGCCTGACAAAGTGAAGTAGACCAAAAGATCCTCAAAAGCTAGACATCATGCCGAGATCCAAAGAAATTCAAAAACAAATGAGAAAGAGAATAATGGAGCTCTATCAGTCCGGAAAAGGTTATAAAGCCATTTCTAAAGCTTGGGGACTGCAGCGAACCACAGTGAGAGCCATTATCCACAAATGGCGAAAACATGGAACAGTGGAGAACCTTCCCAGGAGTGGCCAGCCGACCAAAATTACCCCAAGAGCGCAGCGACAACTCATCCAAGAGGTCACAAAAGACCCCACAACAACATCCAAAGAACTGCAGGCCTCACTTGCCTCAGTTAAGCTGAGTGTTCATGACTCCACCATAAGAAAGAGACTGGGCAAAAATGGTTTGCATGGCAGAGTTCCAAGACGAAAACCACTGCTGAGCAAAAAGAACATAAAGGCTCGTCTCAGTTTTGCCAGAAAACATCTTGATGATCCCCAAGACTTTTGGGATAATACTCTGTGGACAGACGAGACAAAAGTTGAACTTTTTGGAAGGTGTGTGTCCCATTATGTGTGGCGTAAAAGTAACACCGCATTTCAGAAAAAGAACATCATACCAACAGTAAAATATGGTGGTGGTAGTGGGATGGTCTGGGGCTGTTTTGCTGCTTCAGGCCTGCAGTCCCCAAGCTTTAGAAATGGCTTTATAACCTTTTCCGGACTGATAGAGCTCCATTATTCTCTTTCTCATTTGTTTTTGAATTTCTTTGGATCTCGGCATGATGTCTAGCTTTTGAGGATCTTTTGGTCTACTTCACTTTGTCAGGCAGGTCCTATTTAAGTGATTTCTTGATTGCGAACAGGTGTGGCAAGAGAAATTGAACTCAGGTGCGATAAACCAGTGTTTTGACAGGGGGGCAAACACTTGTTCACACAGGGCTCTATAGTTTTGGATTTTGTTTTCCCTTAATAATAAAAACCTTCATTTAAAAACTGCATGATGTGTTTACTTGTGTTATCTTTGACTAATATATAAATTTGTTTGACGATCTGAAACATTACAGTGTGACAAACATGCAAAAAGATAAGAAATCAGTAAGGGGGCAAACACTTTTTCACACCACTGTATATACAAAAGCAAGAAGTCGACAAAAATCTTCTTATGTGCTTTGATGAGATAAACCGAATCTGAAAAGACAGATGCAGGTGTGTGTTGGGCTCCATAACATGGACCTGTGTTATTCTAAGACTGGGCTTGTGGGAAACAAAGGAAAAATAATCTCATATACTGGGAATTTACAAGCACATTGTGATTAAATGAAATTTAAATGATTCCTGAAGGGACACCAGGGTTGTTGCAGGAGTAAACATCAACTTAACATTAAAATTATGAACTTAACCTAAACAAGATCAATTAATTTGAAAACATCAACATCATATTTTAAGACCTTTTTAAGGCCTAAAATTCAAATTAGTAGATTTTATTCTAAGACTTTTTAAGGACCTGCAGAAACCTTTATAGTATATAGTATTACAACTTCCATACTGGAAGACAAGTGTTACCTTGTCTGTGGGATTGTTGGACTCCCAGTAGAGCAGTTCAAAGCTAATGATGGGATCCTGGACAGGCCAAAGCCACGACAGCATAATGCGTGAATCCAGCTCAGCCTCTGCCTCAAAGTCAGATGGTTGAGCTGGAACTGAAGCAGAAACAGGGAGGTGAAGAGATTTCGACACAGAACCAGAGGCAGAATGTGAAGGGTGTATTCAGAGGTGGATATACAAAGTCAGGGAGTCCGAAGATGAAGCGGGAGGCTGGACCTAGAGAAGCCAGGTGCTAAGTGAAACGCTTAGTCAATACTCATCAGAACAGTAACCAAACTGAGAAAGTACAATAAATGTCATCACCTTAAAATCCTCTAAGGTGTTAACTGCAGTGATGCTCTGATAATCAATGAGTAGAACCATCTTTCCCTTCTCAACCTGATACTAGTTATTAGACTTTGTAACATGCAATAATTCAAAATGAAAGGGTGCTGAACTCTACTCCACAAATAAAATATGTCAGCTGAACGTGGGTGGGGTTTGTTTTCTATTAGAGCCCTGGGGTGACGTCATGTTTCTGCCAGCCAAACACAGTCAACCGAGAAAACAAGCTCTCTGCGAATGACACACTACCAGTATTCCTCTACATGCTTGAGGATAAAGTGTGTGAGACCTAAGTATCACACACACTGACACCCTGATACAAACAGCCAGGCATCAACTCCACAACTCTCTAATAGCACAATAATTAATTATGCCAATTAAAGGTGCTACAGTACATGTAGCAGTATAGGTGACTGTTAACAGCAGACTGCTGGTTATGTCACACAGCTGCTGCTCAGAAGTGCAATGTAACATTTACTGTAAACTACTATATACAGCTAAAACCCCAAGGCAATTATTGAAATGCTTAAAAACAATGTTCCTCAAAGAAAGATAGGAAGGGATTTGGATCTGTCACCCTCTATGGTGCATAACATCATTAAAAGATTCAAGAAATCTGGAGGGATTTCAGCTGTAAAGGGCCAGGACTGCCCAGTCCAGTAAGTACAACAGCCTCCTGACTTGAGCTGTAAAGGGCCAAGCCTAAACTGGATGTTACCCTGGGGTTACCAAATCAATATGAAACAGACTGAGACCTCCTTTCTACCTGTCTTGTTCAGGTTTGGGCCACATGAGGATTCAGCTCTGTCATCAGCCACAAACTAAACTAAGCAAGCTACATTCATCAGTCGAACAGAAACAAGACTCCAAATCGATGCTAGGTTTGCTCTGTGTCTGAAGGGATGTGTAATCGCCATAGCAACTGAGGTGATAAGATGTCAGTGTAGAGTAAACCGCTTGTTCTACTACATCCAGTTAGTCAAAAGGAATTGATTACTTTAACTGTTTGCATTGCAATTGCTTTAACTAACATTATAAATACAGGAATTTAACATGCAAAGCGTTATTTCCACATTGTGGAATAGCTATTTTTATTTCAGTAAATGTTCACAATAATGCATCCACCACGTCGGACACCATCCCTGCTGCCACACAACAGTTCAGCAAAAACCTGACACAGAGGCTCACTACTTAGGATGTGAAGTCTTCTTGTGCCACTGATCTGTAGTCAGTATGTTCTCACCTCCCTGCTGGGTCTTGATTTGCAGAACATCAGAAGGCGGCCCATCTCCCACAGAGGTGAAGCCCAGCACTCTCAGACTGTAGGTGATATCTGTGGTCAAGCCAGAGACAGTGGTGAGCTGGCTGTCATCTGTGTTGTGTTTCTGCCAGGTGCTCAGTGGGGCGTCAGGGTCGGAGCTGTAGTAGACTCGATAGCCCCGGATTTGGCCATTGGGCTCATCTGGGGGTTCCCACTGTACCAGCATGGTGCTGGAGCTCAGCATGCGTGCCTGGACATGAAGAGGAGGTGATGAAGGTGCTTGCTCACTTGTACGTGTCTCCACAATACCACTGGGAGGCCCTCGGCCGACGTTGTTCACGGCCATGACACGAAACTCATATTCAGAAAAGGGGCTGAGGCCGCCAATGCTGTATCGGGTGGTGGCTACTCCATCTACTTCCTGGAAGCCGGTGTCAGACAGTTTGGCACAATACTGGATCACATAGTAGGATACTGGCTCTGGGTTGCCAGAGTCCCAGGTCAGGGTGACGCTGGTTGCTGTGGTTTCTGTCACAATGAGTGAGGTGGGCGGTTTAGGCAGGGCTGTTAGAGAGCAGAGACAGACAAGAGTTAGATAAACAAGTCTCTTTGCAGTCCTCCCTTTTCCGTCTCTCTGACATAAAGATTTGGCAGGAAGAACACCCGCTGAAGCTCTGAGTTCATGAAACTGTTCAACACTGCCAGTCTAACAGTTCATTATCATTCAGGAGACTGTCTTTATCCTTTCCTGATCTGCACAGGGGCAGTGGGCTGAGCAGTGTATTATGTTGCCAAGTATATGGGTGCACGTAATCCTGTTTTTCCATCTACAGTCAAGCCAACCAGAGCTGGAAATCATCTGAAATGAATATATTCAAATCAGTCACACAGCAAAGCCTATTGTTTTTAAAAGTTATTTAAAAAATGATTAGTCCATAGAACTCACCAGGTGTCATGAGGCAAACAGATCAATTCTGCATGTGAATCAATCAGGACATAACAATAACCATCGTTGACATATACATACAAGATAACAAATAATAACAAGTGTTGCATAAACAGAGAAACAAGCAAAGCATCATATGTCTCTGTCTAGAATCACAAGACTGCCTTAGTCCTGAGCTGTTTCTTTGCATTGTCCATAGTCTGACAGCTATTTTTTTATTTGGCTACACAGCCCAGCAGACAGCTGCCAATCAACTGTATTAGAACAGCTGTAATAAAAAGAATGTCTGAGGGACAAGTGCAAACACACTAATAAAATAAGCTAATGATATAAATATCAAGAAATGAATTCAGCATCTGTGGCACCTTAAGAACAAAACACAGCCGCTAACACGCTGGTTGCTCCTGCCTACATGACCGCAACAGACACAACAACCTGAAATGAGCTGCTGCTACTTCGAGATGACATCGAGTGTTAACATTAATAATTCAATAATAATTCAAAATGACCAGTGACAGGTGCCAGATCAGGGCCAATCTAATCTGAATGTGGGTTTATTTTTATTTTAGACAGTAATACACACATATACTTTGGATTTTGCCCAATTAACATTGTGTTTAGCATCCCTTATAGTGTAAACAATGCTGTAGAGCACAAATATAATTAGTTTATTTTTCTCCCTGGTGACTCTGTAGAAAGATGCCATTGTGTTTTTCTGAACTGAAACCACTTTCTAAAACAAACCCAAATTTAATTTTAACCCTAAACCCACCTGACAATTTTCTGTTTTAACTTTAAAAAGTTAAAATGTTTAATTTGTCAGCTTTAACAGCAACCTTCTGTCATTAAGTTTAGCACAATTGCTTATTCAGAAGCATGAAGGAAGAAATTTGAGGGCACAAATCAATAAATTAATCATTTAAGAGCTTAAAATAGTCATCTGTGTGCTTGAGTTAATTTTACAACACGGATTAGAATACTTTCAGGCCTAGCACGCTAAATCCATTTCCCAGATCTTTTTGTGTTGATGGTTCACATTCATGTTTGTAAGCAACATGTATCTAGCTCTGATTTGAACACTGATGAGCTCGTAAACTGCAACACATGCAGAGATTTCAATCAACTGTGAGTCACATGCATACAAGAATTTTATGCAGTGGTCATATCATACAGTTCCCAGAAAAACTGTTCAGCTACAGTATATTCCTTCCACTTTGGCTTGATTCAAAGGCTCCTCCATAAAGGTCCAACAAATGTGAAATGTCCTCATTTCTTCACTGACCCCCGTCACTGTTGTTGCTCTCCTTTATGTTATTTTTACTGGTCTGCAAGGGGCCGACGCTGCCAACACATTTTTCTGAAACCTATCCAATAAAATAAATGTATGACTAATTTTCTTGGCAAGTCAGGAGGGATATATTACTGCTGCCAGGAATGTTTTCCAGCCCACTATTTTCATATATTGCATAATCTGAGTGGTTGAATAAGCTCAGGACAATAACAATGGAGCCCAGGCTTCATGGGCTGCACATATTGTTACACACTACGAAACTTGCTCACGGTTCAGAAACAACTGTGTTTTTGCTTGATGTCCAGTTCCACAGCACAGTTTCTACTGGCATAATGTCAGTCATGTTGTACTCAGCACTCTGCTGCTCTTAGTTTCTCTTTTTAATACAAATACAGTTTTACTTCGAATGACTTTTAGTGTTATTTTTGGGTCACTGTTAAGCCTATGTGTCATGCTTTCTTGTTTGTCACTGTTATAATTGTTTACAATGTTACAGTACACATAACATTCATCAGGTGATGTAAAAAGAAATAAAACACACACACGCTGTGTTTTCATTCCTTGTGGGGACTTTACATTGACTTGCAACCTTAACCATAACCACCACTAGCCTAATCCTAACCCTGATAGTAGTTTATAGCAACTGAAAAAGCAAAAGCAAAGTCTAATACATTTTCACCTCTGTGGGTAACAAGCAGCTTGGACTAATGTAAAGCAGCTTGTGTTACAGCATCCTCTACAAAACCACCGATGACAGTCATGGCTGGAAGCTCTAAAAATAAATGCTGCAGTAGTGACAGGATGTTTGAGTTTTGACACACTCCATTCCCAAGGTCAAGCTTGTCTGCATCACCAGAAACCAAAAACAACTCAAATCACCCACAAAAGCATATAACAATACTACTGTTAGCACTCAGCTGCCTTTTAATTGAATGTTTCACCAAACAAATGTAATTATTCAGACAGTAATTCAAAGGTCTGTCCAATGTGAGATAATGTTCCACCAGACAAACCAATGCCCACATAGTGTTTCTAACCTTTGACAGTGATCTGGGCTGTGGTCTCGATCATACCCAGGGAGGACATGGCCACACAGGTGTAGTTGGCAGACTGGCGGATGTTAGTGAGCTCTAGGACATTGCGTCCAATAGGCATCTCTTCCTCTCGAGTCAGCTCCACTGCACCTCTCATCCATCGGACATAAGGCATGGGAGCACCGACTGCCACGCAGGTCAGGTTGATGCTGCCGCCGGGCATCACCTCGTGATTGGTGGGGGGGATGGAGAAACGTGGAGGCACACGGCGAACTGCAGGGGTAAAAAGAGTGAGAGTGAGAGGACACAGTGGGGGGGGTGTTACTGGACCACTGAGCTGACTCCATGTCTGTCTGGTGTGGCTTGTACTGTGCAGTAGTGTGTGTCAGGGTGTATGGGCCTGAAGAATAATAGCAAGGGCCTGGTGGAGTTTTACTGTCCCATTATTCCCTAAAGCTTGGAGTTTGGAAGTGCTTTCTACACTGAAGTGCTTTTAAAACCACTTTATAGGCACAACCTTCTCTCCTGCGACCTAAAACAGTTCATTAGAACTGTTTCACTTGTGAGTTTTGTTATAAGATCTTCATCCAATGAAATTCTATTTGTAAAGACAGTAATTTATCATCAGTGGACATCATGCAGACCTTTCAAGTCAATCTGCTTTACAACAGCACTGCCATGCAATATGATATGACAATGTAACTGCAACTACAGTAGACATGATGTTCAACGTGACTTGATTTTGATCATGAATATTGTACCAGTGAATGGTAACAATCGCTGTCAGACATAACGAGACACAGGAAAAGCATCTATAATCTAAAAATAAAAAGACTATGGTATGCTTTAAATAGAGAGGTCAAATTTACTGTAGGTACAGTTTTTACTCAGTCTGTATCATTAGCACCTGATTTACTAAAACTGATTTCATCAATGATGCCATGAGTTAACAGCAGTATAATTATAGTTTGCAGTCTATCTACTTTAACAATATTACCCAGAGAAACTGTACTTGCTGTACCTCCTTTCATACAGTTTCTGATGGATGGATTACAAACTGGAATTACATCCAGGTCATTTTTCCTTGTCTTATTACTGAACAGCTGAGCAATCACCATGTTTATGGTCTTTACTCTCTCACTCTCTCACTGTGAGAGAGAGTGGTGATCATGCAGAGGTGAATGAAGATGTTTTTGTTAGATGTGTATAACTAAAAAAGAACAACTCCTGCTGGGCCACAGAGCTTAAAATGCACCCAGAGTTGAATGTGCTGCTAGTTGGGTGCATTTTCATCACACCCTGATGCTGAGGCACAGTGTGCTAGAAAGAATCCTGAGGGATTCTTCCCTGTTGTTAGCTCTCCTCCTCTGAAACCCTCCTAAAGTGCTAGGATCTAGCACTAAAGTGCCTCCTTGTTACATTACATCTGAATTAGCGCAGCAGCACAGCATGAACATTAAATGTGCAGACGGCCCTGTTGCATACAGCCAAGCACAGTCATAACAATCTGACCAAGTGTAATTTAAGTGGTGGGCATGAGTATGGGTATGAGGAGCTTACATTATGGATCAGAGGCTTTGCTAAGGGTTTCGTCTTGGTTTAACTAAAGAAGAACGGGGAGAAAAATTCTGCCACTATCACTCTCAGTGCAGAAAAATCTCATGTGAGTTGAGCACTGGGAAGAAGCATTAGCAGTACATTGGCTGAACAATGACAACATTCAGTGAGCTCTGGGGGACGTGTATGCTTGGGCTAAATATTACTGTAGTAAAGAACACGATGTAAAGGAGGCACATGGCTTGGAAAGGGTGATGTGCCTGTCAGATAGGCGGGGCCCAGGAGAAATCTGCTGTAAAGTGGCTGCTCATGCATTTGATGTTAGAGGACCACTATTTTGAGACCGTAATTAAGGGTACCATATGATCACATGACATTTTTATGACCCCACAGCAAAACAACAGTTTCAGAGGCCATACCATTATCAATCAGCACCAGTGACTTCCTGTTATTTTATGCTGCGTACTGACTTTAAAATCTAAACTTGGAAAGTAGCCCACCTCTTTATTAGAAGTTTGGGTTCTGTGTCTGCTGTAATGAGCTGGAATGCATCAAGGATGAACACAAAGGCAAGACCAACTACTGGCCACCATACTGTGGAATGTCAAAGCCTTCTTTAAATTTTCTCCTTCAGTCATTTTATGGCTTTATTGGCTTGTCCTGTGTGTTTCATTGGCTATTTCATTATTGCTCTCATAGTTTAACTCTTTTCTCCTGCTGTTCACTTTTACTGATGCTCCTAAAAACAGGCCAAAAAGGAGTAGTCAGAGAACCAGCCAGCTTAAGTTGGAGGTAAAATGGAGAGTGACAATGATGAATGCATGGGAAAATAACTATGATACAGAAACTATAGGTTAACTATGGGTTATCTATCAAGCATGTCCTGGGTCTTTCGCCAGGAGTGCTTCCAGGTGGACATGCCTTATCAGATACAATACCTGACCCACCTCAACTGACTTCTGTCAGTGTGAGTCCACTCTGAGCTCCTTCACGATGTCCTAACTCCTCAGGCTATTTCAAAGGGAAAACCCAAACACCCACTTTCAAAACTATTTTCCCAGTGTGACCTTTAAGCGGCTCCTCATTTGACTTTATTTAGGTGGTGTAAATCTATTTTCTTTTTTAAATATACTGTGTTGTGTGTGTGACCAGTTTGCTTGTTGATAATTAGTACCACAGCTCTATGTTCTGATGCTGGATGATATAGATATGCTAGCTAGCACTGAGGGAGTAATCAGCATCAGTAAATTACAATCCATTACATTACCCATAGACAATGTGATGACTGGTGTACTGAGTCAGAAGTTAAGAGTGATGTTACATTAAAGTTCTTCTGCTGGTCTGGACAGTGGCCTAATGGGTGGGTTACTGAAGTACAGAATCCAGAGTGGCACCAGGGTGTCACTTAGTCACAGTGATACATTTAGGAGGAACAGATGCACATTAGTAGCAGCTGATAGAATGCAAACAAACTTTATTAACATGCCACAGAAAAGAGATGAGAGAGAGGGGGGAGTGAAGAAAGGATGAGTGAAAAGATTTGGGAAGCCACGTCTGAATAAAAAAAAAGCTGTCAGTTTTAGGAGCAGCTAAGATGGGTGGGGATGCAGACATTTGTATACATTGTCAAGAAAGTCATGCAGCAGTGCAGGTGAAGAGGCAGCAGCATGCTTGTTACAGGGTTCACATGCACGAATTAAATTTACTGAACTGAAAAATATTCTGCATGGTACCTCAAGTAGACTGACGACATCTCAGCTTTGGGTCTAATATCTATATTTTATCATTTTCCTTTAATTCTAAAGTTAGATTTTTTCACTTTCATATAGGCTGTTTAGATTCTAGCTTCACAGCTTGTAAAACCCAAGAAAATACATAGAAGCCCTGAGGTTTTTTCTTTGCCCATACTTAATGTTTGCTTCAAGTTTGCACCTATAATTGACAGATTTGATCTAATACTGTAAGAGAGGGTGCCACCAAAACAAATTTGATAACAACACCTATTTACTCATGTCTCACTAACTGAACTGCCTTTTCAGTTACCTTCAGTCATTTAGTTTGACAACAGCTTCATGCTAGACCACTTGTGTTTGACAGAGAGTGTTCATTTGGTTTGGCCTAACTAGTGTCACATATTGTACATCCTGCCAACATTCTCAGTAGACACACCTTGTTGTAAACCCCTTCACTGAGTACTATCTTTTACATGATACACTCACTAACTGCTGCATCTATCTAGGATAAGGATAATCACCTTTATTGGCCAAGTATGTTACACACAAGGAATTTGTTTCCAGTACAAAACCAATGGCAGCCATCTGTGGCACCACCTCAACCAATAGCTTTAACCATCGGGGGCAACGTGTTTTGCCCAAGGACACTTCGACTGGTGGAGGTTCGAACCTTAAACCTTCTGGTTGGGAAATGACTGCTCTACCCACCGCACCATGGTCGCCTCCCCCATCTGCATGTACAACAGAACGAAGAACAGTTCTACTGATTTAGCATCGCACTCCTACTGTTGGACTCATGATGGGCAGTTTAAAAAGAATCCTAACTGATACAGCGGGATTCATCAATTTTATTTCATGTGTTCTTCTTCTTTGACAAAACCTGGTGCCTACATAACCCAGAATGTATACTGACTGTCAACAGTCAATACACAGTCAGAAATAAGGAGTGGGCTAGCTTTTCAGCTCACATCCTTCTAACTCCACATTCCCAGATGTTTTCCTTTTCAGACCAACTGACGCTGACTTAAGTGATATCACTTGAGGATTTATCAGACTTCACACAGTTCTGTCTAGAGGCTCTAACCCCCAATATCAGTAAACAGAAAAGCTAGAGGAAGTGGGGGAATTCCCTTTTAACTAATAGAAATAACCATATAACCAAAAGCTAAATACCAGTGAGCTTCACTGTGCTGGGATAGAGCAATGTATATATGTATTTAAAAAATGTGAACTACAGTGTTTCTCACTCCCTGTCTGACAGAGAGACAGCTGAGGCGATGAGAAGTTTGTGGCACAGCAAAGCATGAGGTGTACTTATGATAGCAACACGGTGTGTAAAGCAGAACTGGTGTACAGGGTTTGCTGCTGTGCATAAATGGAAATGACATATACTGTACATATGGCCTCAAACTGATGGAGTCCTAGATTGGAAGCATCTTAGTGCACCAAGATCTTCAACCTGTAGCCCTGGGGAAAGGTCCTGGAACATGTCAAGATCAGATCAGGTCTGATTGTTCTGATAGATTAGAACAATCAGATAGGGAGGAGAGAAGTGAACCATTTACTGAAACTCAGTGAAGACAAAAGTTACTTTAGAATGACTTCTTACTCTGAGGTTTTTGATGCCTATTTTACATCAGTACAGGGTTAGGGTTAGGTATTAGGGTTAGGGTTAACCCCCTGCCTAACACCTAACCCTTCAGACCTGAAGCTGACAGAATGAAGTGTAAACCTTCAAGTGCAATGCCACTGCAAATGACTTTAATTTATACGTACAATTTAGACTTTTGTTTTTTTTTATGTGGCTCTGAAAAAGTTAGTCAAAGGTGGGGACATACTAGTCTACTATAGCCGAAACATCTGTTTCAACCAACTTGCATAGATTTTTTTTTTGTGCTTGGCAGTCAGGAAAAAGCACACAACACTTAATGAGTGGAAGTTCTGGTAGTAGACAAAGCTGCAAATCTCATGAGATCACACCAA